ACCAAGCCAATTTCTTAGGGTGCACTTCCCCAAATTCTTCCCAAAGTCTCTTGGGAGTCGATGGACCTTGGGTTGAATTTCTCTTCTTATTGGATTTCATCTCCTTTTTAGTGGGTGAAATTCTTAGTAAGACTCCATGTCTTACCCGGGGTTCGGCTTGTTGTGCCCTTTTGTGTTATTTTCAATGATGAAGGTGCCCTTGCGTGCCCCTTTTTCTTTTTAAAGCGCAGTCGGTTACCAAAACTCGTTGTGGGATGGCTCGGTGACCTTACGAGTCATCTCATTTCCTTGTGGGTCCTTAATGACCCTTGAAGTCTTGGAGCGAATGTGCTCTTTCCCCTTTTGCTTAGCACCATGGACTACGTAGTTCTTGTTTCCATACAACCTGTAAGGAGTCCTCTGATTTGCTCGAACGACGTCCATGGTTTGGAGGAGTCTTGGTTTAGCATTTTGTCTTTTAAGATCTTCGTGGGTTCTTAGCACGAGTTCCCAACTCGCCTCCTTGGTTTGCGCAATCCTTTATGCCAAACATCCCTAGTCGGTTGTATCGTAGGATCCAACTTCAATTACTCGTGCAAGGCAATTGATTGTGATTTCCCGACGGTGCCTCGTGCGTCAAGGTCCTTTACGTAGGATACTATGTTTGGGTGGTCCATGATTTCTTATCCGAGACTCACATTCATCAATCGAGGCACACATGTGCGCCGCAACTCAATAAAATGAGGGGTTAAGAAATCAGCACATTGTACCAGTGGGCACGAGGTGGGCGATCGTCTGCCTGCCAAGCTCCTGCCAAGGACCCGCCAAGGTCCCGTCAAGGACCCGTTGGGGACCCGCGGGAAAATGACTGGGGAGAGTCAATTCCTTCGGGAAAGACCCCAAAGAGGCACCGATTCATGTCCTGACAAGTCCCATGCCCTTGTGCACTAAAAGGGGCTTGAATACATAGGATGACCCATCGTACAACGTTTACTGATCCTTAAGCACGAGTTCTAGATGAGTCAAGACTCTTGTATGTTCGTTCCGTTTAGTAGGTCGGGTCCGGTTTCCAATCAGCAACCTCGTCATCTTCACCGGGTAGTTTTGGTTATAAAACCAACTTCGTCTCTTCCCTGCTTGATTAAGGGTAAGCCCTCTTGGTTCTTCTTGGAGTTTGGCTTGTTGCCCCTTCTTTGTTTAATCCTTTGGCGACCGAGTGCTCCGTGATGCATTTCCCTTCCTTGGGATGCATTTGATTGACTGCCCTTGTCGTCGTATGGTGTATTGGCGGCTTTGCGTGTCTCACGTACTTCTCACGGTGCCTTAAAACCATCAAGGTCCTTGTTCCAAGGTAAGATCCTTATTGCTGTGAGGTTCTAGTTGTGTGATACTTTCCATGTGTTCGTTGCCTCTTCTTGTCATATCGAGCCACTTTTTGGTGATTCGTGCCAATGATTAGGAAAGGGTGTCGTTGACGTACTACCTTGCTTCCTTGCATTCTAATTGGCGTTCCCAGTCTCCCGGCTGGGATAGTTGCGCCCATTCGTGACCAGTTCCGAAAGGGTTCGCTCATGCTGGAGGGGGCGGCTTCCCACTTTTGTTACTTCTTCTTTCGGGTTTGTTCCTGGATTCCGCGTTTGGAGTGGTTGGATTTGATAGAGATTAGTGACACTGGAGTAAGCCTCGTTGAGAGTCCGAGGTCTGCTTACCACTAGTGCTTTTCGAGCTTCAAGGTTGAGGCCCGATACGAATCTCTCTACTCCGGTTACCTCGGTGGGGCTAGTTCTAGTGTGAAGCGTGCTAGTTCAAGGAATCGTTTGTTGGTATTCCATGACGGTGGTTGTCCCTTGTTTTAGATGGAGAGACTCTTCGTTCCTGGATGCTTTCACGCGTGTTGGATAAAACCGCTTTCGAAGTCGCGCCTTGAGGTGTTCCCAGTTGAACCTTGGTCCTTGTTGGTAAGTGGGACCCTCGTGGATTTACCAGAGATCGGCCTCGTGTCCGAAGTAGAACGAGGATACCTCCACGCGGCGTTCCTCTGGGCACCCTACTAACTCGAGGATTTTGTCGAGGGTTCGGATCCATTCTCCTAGGATTACGGGATCCTCTTCTCCTGAGGATGTGGGTGGTCGATGGTTAGAGTCTTGTCGGGCGAAGTCTGCGTTTGCGTTCGACGGAGGTGGTGGGGGATTTCTTGTACGTGGTTGCCCTTGCGGGTGCGGGGTGGAAACGTCCTTGTAGTCGTGCCCCTAGGCGCTCCTAGTTGGACCCCCGGTTATTACCCATAAGTGGGTCCTTCTTGAACTTATCAAAGATCAGCCTCGTGTCTTTGGACGAGGATATCTCTACGCGGTGCTCCCCTGGGCATTCCATTAACCCAAGGATTTTGTTGAAGGTTTGGACTCGTTCTGCGAGGAGTGTGGGGTCTTGTTGGCGCCGTGCTGCTGGTTTTTAGGGCCAATATTTATTGTAGTGATGGGTCAGTGTGCTGCACCCTTACCTTGGTGTGGTAAGCGTAGGGGGGGTTCTTTAAGTCATGCAGGGGTAAAGTGAGGGGGGTTATGTGTAGGTTTCACAATCTCACCGCGCGTCCTAAGATTCCTGAGTCCTATGTTCCTAGATACCTAGAGTTCAAGCCTAATGTCCTAAAGTCCGGTCTTAAGAGTCTTATCCTAGGGTCAAACTTAGGCTCTGATACCAACTGTAACACCCCAGATTTTTAAGATTTTTTAAACTTATAATAAAAGCGGAATATTATTAAAACCCAAGATGTAAATACAAGCGTACGGGGTGCTATGCCACACTTGGGCTAGAGAACCCAAGTGCACAGGCTAACTAACTAATATCCTCGAAGAGTAAATGCATAGACGTGGCACGCAGGCCAAAAGGAAAGCTATCTACTTCTACATTCCAAGTTCTAGCGCGCTCCAGTGACTAAATCTTCTGTGCCTGAAAGCCAAATATATCTGTTCAGCGAGAGATGCTGGTAACCCACTCCAACGCGTTGAAATACAATACATATAGCAATATATATAGATATACGAAAAAACCATTTTGAGCATGAAGATATCTCCTACGAACTCTAGCTTTAAAACCGGGGACGACTCGACAGTTAAAGCCAGACGCAAGCATTGCTATAACAGTCATAAGCAGTTCACAATAGATAAGGCAATTAAGGCAAGCATAACCGATGATCATAACTCAACATAAACAGTCTTAACATAAATCTCCCGGTCATAACTATCAAGATAGTCATAACCACAACTCTCCCACCTCTCAACACATAGCACACTTTGTTGGCGCCACAGGACCAATCGCATGCCCATACATGAGGGTCAGCGCATATAGCTCTGACACGGCCCCGCAGCACCCTGCCCCGCATCCACACGGAGGAATCATTGCTTTGGCCCCCAATGAACCAAAGCCCATAAGAATGTGCACTCTGACTGTAGCCAGGAAACCCATCTGACTACAGCCGGCCTCCGAACCCTTTGTTCAGGAGGTGCCATCTGATTGCAGTCAGGAATTCCCATCTGACTACAACCAGCTTCTGGGCCGCTGCCCAGGATAACGTCATCTGACTGCAGCCAGGAAACCCATCTGACTACAGCCAGCTTCCGAACCCTTTGTTCGGGATAACCAATCCGATCCTTTACCGAATTGGCAACACACACACATAACACATAGCAAGCACATGCAACCCACATTACACGTTGGGAGGGGAATACGACGTATAAAATAACCCTATGCGTGATCCATCACCTACTATGAATAGCCTTACGGGGTTCATACTTCTTCCACCTAGGTCGACGGGATACCAATCCAACTAGCATGCAATATAATTGACTCGTAAACCTACGAACGGTACCCGAAACAGCAAACTAGACATAGGCACGACAAACGGGGTCCGTTGGGACACCACGGGGATCGGGGAAACATCAAACGGGGAAGCCGGGGTCCCGGGTGGGGTGAGATTCCAGCGGGTAGCCAGTGGGTGGGGGCCACCCGCCGGCTGCCCGCCGGAGTTACTGTTCCGGGCAGCGGGTCGCCGGCGGGCAGCTGCCAGCCCGCTGCCGGGAACACTGTTCCGGTAGTGGGTAGGTGGCGGGTCCCCTACCCCCCCACCTACCCCCCACTGACTCCTTTTATCACGTTTACGCCTCGGGAACCCTCGTGGAACCCGAAACCATGCTTAGACACTTTGCAACGTAATTAACGACAACACGTCGGCGATTAACGGGTCAAATACGAGAGACGAACGACACATAACCTATCATGTTTTTCTAAAAATAATCAACACCCATACATGCGATTTCCCCACCCGATAATCCAAGAATCAAAGCATACGGTACAACCTAGGGTTCTAATCACTTTTATATCAACAAGAATACGATTCGTCTTCTAATTGCAAGATTCGGTAGGAACAACACATAATCATCAAGGATACCAATTAATCATCAAGAAAATCATAATCATCAAGAACAACACATAATCATCAAGAATCCCAATTAATCATCAAGAACATCATAATTATCAAGAAACTCCCAATATCAAGATTATCAAGATTCCCCTTGGAATCATTAAATCAACATCAATAATAATCATAGTAAATCGCCATTTACAACAATATGGGGGAAACCCTAAGGGGAATTCATAGCTAAGAAAATAGGTTTTGTTGAGACATGGGTTACCTCTTAGCCTTAATTAATTCCTTGGCTATGAAGGATATTTCTTTAAGCTTTCTTGATTTCTTGATTTCTCCTAGGGGAATTCTTGGAGCTCTTTGGGTGGTGAGAGATTATTGTGGTGGGGATTCTAAATGCCTTCCAAGTTCTCTATTTATATGCTATGGGGTTTAATTCTCCTAGGATTAGGTATTGGGCTTTAGGGATGGGGGTCCACGGACCATGGTGGGCTTAAGGCTAATTAATCATTGTGATTTATTTCTTTTCTTTCTGGGTAGATGGCTAATTAATTAATTGGTTTTAGGACTCGTCACACGGGGTGTTACAAAAACCAAATGGAAATAAAGAGCATTATTATTGGTTTACATTTTACAATGCCAATTAACAAATTGAGGGCAGACAATCTGAATCACAAAATAAAAAGGGAGACCAAAATTTCAACAAAGTTGGATTTTGATAAATACCATTTGACTACTTCAGTTAGCATTGCATTAGGGAAGAAAGAAAGTTTCCCCCTTTGCCATTTGTTATTTGTATTAGCATGCCATTGTGGATATGCCAATGTAACTAGAAAACATGTTAGTATGTTCCCCTCCATGAATACCATTTCAGTTTCAATTGGAAAAGCAGAGAGGGAACCCCTAAAATCACTCGTGTTAGTCTTGGATCAAACACGTCGAACTGCACACGGCTTAGAGAATCCAGCATAACCTGAGCAGGGACAGCGGGTAGAAGCACTGGCCGGGCTTCAGCCGGCACTTTTCCTCTCAATTCACGAGCTTTCTGCAGATGTGCATTAGCAACAGATGCCAAGTCAAATACAGCATCGCACATGCTCTCAAGGGAATCCAAACGAATCTCTGATTGACCACTTTGATGTACTAACAATCCATGTTTCTCAGCCACGTCAGCAGGTATGTAAACAAGATGGCGGTTTCGACTCGCATGGTAAGGTAATGACCTTAGCAGCAAAAGAAGCCCATTCGCCTTTCCGATGTGTGATGCTTCATGATCTGCAACTGTCGATCTAATGCCACCCGCTTCAAGTGTGTAGTACAGAATAGTCGATGCAGTGTCTTCTGCATACCGCTCCAACTCTTCAACGGTTTTTGGTATGTCAGTGTCCTCTCTTCTAGCATCATTAATCCGAGCTTCCACCGAACGCTTCAACCAATTCTTGCTAATTTTATTTTGAGATATCACAGATGCAAGCGCCTGTGCTACTGGATGCTCAATCGACTTGTTGGCATATAACTTGTCCAGAGTTTCTTGCCACCACAACAGGCGCATAAGACCGATGTTAGGATCAGAGGACACATCCATAGCTCTGGATGTCTCTACATTAAAAGCAGAGAGTGCAAAAGCAGCTATTCTCATATTTGGTGGAAGTTCAAGAAGGCAAAGGTAGCGATGATAGTCATAATTTCGTACTTGCTGCACACAATAGGAGAGAGCAGCCCGTAGGCCACCTGAACTGGAGGCACCACTCATCAAATCCTCAGTTCTGTCGCTGTGCACACAGTTATCTACATAAGAAAGAAATTGCATTCTAAGGACTACTAACATAATGAGGCATAAATAAGAGTTAATTGGAAAATGAGGATGAGAAAGCACTATAATTCATTATTAGATTGGGAAAAAGCCAGAAGGAAATAAAAGGATAGGAAGATTTACATTGTGGATAGCTTTATATGCTTAACTACATAGCCATGAAGATAGCTAGTGTTAAACTTGATGGACAGCAGGATTCACACTATCAATGCTCCAGAATGCCCAGGGTGTGACGATATGCAGTTGCTAGCAACTGTTACCTGAATTCTGGATAAATTGACGCTTATCTTTGTTAGAAATTTAATATCAAATAGAAAGAAAAATAATAATAATAATAATAATAATGAAGATACTGTGTAGCCACTCATATTGCATGTTTGACCAAAGATTTTGAAATTTACAACCTGCAATCTTTTACCACTTGCAAATTACATCTTTCTTTGAAAAAAATCCCACATTCAGTTCTGTTGTTATGTGCATGTCCATTTATTAGTAATGAATCTGATGACTGCATATCCAAATTATCATTTCTAACAACCAATGGTGCAGGTAAAAAGAGCTCAATTCCCCTTAAGTAGTATGATTTACACTATTCAAATTTTATAAACAAAGAAAAACAAACACAATGTATTTGAATCACCAATCCTGAGCTTTATTACATCATATAATCCTATGCATATTTAAATCATCTACAAATCTACAATGTCAACCAAGACACCTATCAGCAAAATGGTTCTTCATATGCATGTATCTAGATATCAAAAGAAGTCAATTATACCCATTGCTCAACCACACAACAAAAACCAATCATGATTCATGCTAGCAACAGATTGGTATGAAATCATATTATCGCAACCCAAGCAAACCAAACAAGTAGTCAGGCAATGACTGTCTTGTTTGTTGTGTCTTTTTATGAATAACATTCAGATGGGGTGATGTGCTCCTCCCATAACGAACAAAAATGTACACTCCATGTCTCCATCAGAGTGCAAGCAATCATTTCATTCAAGAAATCAAATCTGAATGTGATTTGGCTAACCATATAATCTACCATGAAGTTACCATCACTTATGATTCATGATGGAAGAATATTAATGAGTAATGACTACCACAGGAAATAGCAGCAGCAGCATCTACAAATAAATTGTAGATAATATGGAAAGAAGAGCTGTAGCAAAGTTTAACAGAAATCAACAAGGATCACTGATGAAGTATTCATTTTTGCAAGCATTAACAGGAGCCAATGAATTTCATAACACAATTAAAAACAAGCACAAATAGTTCCAGGCTTGTGTACATCAAAACACCAAGTAGCCAAGTGAAAGATGAGTGTGTTAATTTTCTTGAAGACAGATAAATATTTTCTTGAAGACAGATAAATACCTAATTCCCATAACCAAACTTTTTAAAGCGAAAAAGCGCATTAAAGCGACTAGGCCGGGCATTGCTTGAAAGTGAAAGCGCAAAGCGAAGCGTCGCTTTTAATATATATAAATTATACATATATATAGTCAAAAACTTCAAATAATTATGCAAAATAACATCCAAAATAACTCCTAAAGTGATAAAGTGACAACATCATAATAATACAAATATTATTCATTTAATAAAAATAAATTATTAAATGAACTAAGATTAAAGTGTAAACAGCGAATCAGCGATACCAGTCGACACTCGACAGTGTGAACGGTGAGCAGGCTGCAGGCGAGCGGTCGGCGAGGCGGCGAGGGCGGCGGTCGGCGAGAAGGGAGACTAGGAGAAGCAGAGTGCAGCGGAGGCAGAGTGGCAGAGAGGGAGAAGGTTTGGTCTTTCCAATCACAATCGCGAGTCGCGATATTAGCTTAGGGCTTAGGTTTAATTTTTCTTTTTTTAAATTGACCGTTGACTGTGCTATTTGTGACAAAGCAACGCCTTTCACGCTTTTCATAAGTTTGCCCATAATTAATCCACACTTGATATAAATTACTAAATTACCAAATGGAGACCAACTTCTAGCCTCTATTCTATTTTAAACGTCCCCAAGAAATTTGGTTTGGAACACGATACAAAGAGAAGAATAAGTTGATTATTGGAGATTCTTGCCTTCATCAACCAATTGTCATAATCTAGACTGAATCAAGTGTATCCAGGATATATGATCTTAGTGATTTCCCTAAAATTTTGCAGAACATGTACTTAAGCATGCTTCATTCCAGAAGCACACACTTATTAGCAGACCTCATGCTCAATATCCCTTAAATTTACAACACTAACGATGACCATGAAGAATTACACATTCCTGTTGTCTCTCCTGCAAGTTGCAGTGTTGGAAAGCAAAGTGCAATTGAATATTCTCTTAATTTACTGATATTGGATGTTCAAGAATCATTAGGTTAGCTAAAGAGTCAAGCCCCATTGGCCATAACTAAAACACATTGTGATTGATGTTTAATATTTCCAGTGCATTCAACAGAGAAGACGAGCCGAGACTCTCATTGCCAAAATTTGCATACAATCAAGAAATCCATCTATTATTGTTAGATATATTAAATATAATATATATAATATAATATAATATATCTATAATATATATATATATATATATATATATATATATATATATATATATATATATATATATAATATATTTGAGAAGAGAGAGAGAGAGGAATAAACTGATAATGTGTATTTGATGAGATGATTAACAAATGAACAAGAGTCACATATTTATACTAAAGGCAAACTACTAATTAGGGAACTAATGCTCCATGTACTTGCTATAATCTAGGCCACTTTCACATTAACTAATCATACATGACACACCACACACCCATGTTTATTTACTGCATTAGTTTACTTGGTTTAATTTGTAATAATAATATTATTATAACATTGCCTCCTTTAAACCAAGTTGGATATATTGGTCATCCCAATTTCTTCTTCTTCAATTTAAGAAATGTCTCCGTCTTCAAGTTGGATATACTGACTTGTATTTCGTTCTGTAAACCCACTTTACTCCAATTGGCTTCTTCCCAGGAGGTAAATCTATTAACTCCCTTTCTGTAGCAGCCTCCTCAAAAGATAAAGGATCACAATCTGCAAAGAGAGCAAATTGAACAATCTCTTCATCAGACATGTCACTATCATGACCCAAAACATAATCTTGCAAGCGAGCTGGTAAGTGGCGCTCGTGCTGAGATCGTCGAACTGACAGCTCCGACTGTGTAAGACTGAACATTATCTGGAATCGTTTGCTCATCAACAATATTTTCAACAATAGGAATAACAATTGAACTTTCATCTTTAGCTAACCAATCCCAAGCATCATATTCATCAAAAATGACATCACGACTTATAACAACCTTTTTAGTTTCAGGATTGTATAGTTTATAAGCCTTGGAAGCGTCTGTAACACCCCGTGTTACGGCCCCTTGGACCAATTAATTAATTAACCTATGACCCATAAAAAAGAATAATTTATTATGATTAAGTTGGGAAAAAGGCCCACCATAGTCCGTGGACCCCATCCCTAAAGCCCAATACCTAATCCTAGAAGGATTAAAACCCATAGCATATAAATAGGGAATTTAGAAGGCATTTAGAATCCCCACCACAACAATCTCCCACCACCCAAGGAGTTCCAAGAATTCCCCTAGGAGAAATCAAGAAATCAAGAAAGCTTAAAGAAAGATCCTTCATAGCCAAGGAATTAATTAAGGCTAAGAGGTAACCCATGTCTCAACAAAACCTATTTTCATAGCTATGATTTCCCCTTAAGGTTTCCCCCATATTGTTGTGAATGGCGAAATTATGGTGATTATTATTGATGTTGATTTAATGATTCCATGGGGAATCTTGATAATCTTAATATTGGGAGTTTCTTGATAATCATGATGTTCTTGATGATTAATTGGGATTCTTTATGATTATGTGTTGTTCTTGATGATTATGATATTCTTGATGATTAATTGGTATCCTTGATGATTATGTGTTGTTCTTACCGAATCTTGTAATTAGAAGACGAATCGTATTCTTGTTGATATAAAAGTGATTAGAACCCTAGGTTGTACCGTATGCTTTGATTCTTGGATCATCAGGTGGGAAATCGCATGTTGGGTGTTGATTATGTTTAGGAAAGCATGATAGGTTATATGTCGCTCGTTTCTCGTATTTGATCCGTTAATTGTCTATGTGTTGTCGTTAATTGCGTCGTAAAGTGTCTAAGCATGGTTCCGGGTTCCATAGCGATTCCCGGGGCGTAATTGTTGAAAAGAAGTCAGTGGGGGGGTAGGTGGGGGGGTAGGGGACCCGCCACCTACCCGACGCCGTGAACCACCGCCTGGCAGCAGGTGGCCGGCGGGCGGGCAGCTGCCCGGCGGCGACCCGCTGCCCGGAACAGTAATTCCGGCGGGCAGCCGGCAGGTGGCCCCCCACCCACCGGCTACCCGCTGGAAATTCGTCCACCTTGGGACTCCGGCTTCCCCGTTTGATGTTCCCCGTTCCCCGTGGTGTCCCAACGGACTCCGTTTATCGTGACTATGTCTAGTTTGATGTTTCGTGTACCGTTCGTAGGATTATGAGTCTATTATGTTGCACGCTAGTTGAATTGGTATCCCGTCGACCTAGGTGGAAGAAGTATGAACCCCTTAGGGCTATTCCTAGTTGGTGATGGATCACGCATAGGTTTGGTTATACGCTTTCTTCCCCCTCCCAGTGTGTAATGTGGGTTGCATGTGCTTGCTGAGTGTTATGTGTGTGTGTTACCCCAATTCGGTTGCGATCGGATTGGTCATCCTGAGCTGCGGTTCAGAAGCTGGCTGCGGTCAGATTGATACTCTTGGGCTGCGGTCCACCGTTTGGTTGCGATCAAACGTTCTATACGAGCTGCGGTTCGTCCTTTATCCTGGCTGCGGTCAGATGACACTCTCTTGGGCTGCGGTCCACTGTTTGGTTGCGATCAAACATTATGATGAGGTGCGGTTCATCGGTCGGTTGCGATCAACCCCTCCGTGTTGCGATACGGGGCAGGGTGCTGCGGGCCCGTGTCAGAGCTA